CCTAGCCCACAGGAGATCCTAAAGGGAGGGACTCCCGGTGAAAATCTACGTCCTCAGAAGTGAAAAGTGTGGAAATTATATGACAGTGGGTACATGTAATAAAGACTTTGTTTCTTGTTATTGAAGATACTCAACTGCCCTGGCTGGTGTGACTCAGTGGATTGGGCGCTGGCCTGTGAACCACAGGCGCCTTCCTGGGCAGGGCACGTGCCTGGGCTGTGGGCCCGGTCCCCAGCTGGGGGCCTGACAGAGGCAACTGATCAGTGTTTCTCTCCCTGTCTTCCCTTCTAAAAATAAATAAAATCTTTTTAAATATATTTTATTGATTATGCTATTACAGTTGTCCCATTTTCCCCTTCACTCCCTTCCACCCTGCCCACCCTCTCCCACCCACATTCCCCCCCTTTAGTTCATGTCCATGTGTCATAAGTTCTTTAGCTTCTACATTTCCCATCCTATTCTTGCCCTCCCCCCGTCTATTTTCAACCTATTGTCTATGCTACTTATTCTCTATATCTTTTCCCCCTCTCTCCTCCTCCCACTCCCCTGGTGCTAACCCTCCATGTGATCTTCATTTCTGTGGTTCTGTTCCTGTTCCAGTTGTTTGCTTAGTTGTAGTTTTTGTTTTAGGCGTGGTTGTTAATGATTGTGAGTTTGCTATCTTTTTTACTGTTCATATTTTTTTATCTTCTTTTTCTTAGATAAGTCCCTTTAACATTTCATATAATAAGGGCTTGGTGATGATGAACTCCTTTAACTTGGCCTTATCTGAGAAGCACTTTATTTCCCCTTCCATTCTAAATGAAAGCTTTGCTGGATAAAGCAATCTTGGATGCAGGTCCTTGCCTTTCATGACTTTGAATACTTCTTTCCAGCCCCTTCTTGCCTGCAAGGTCTCTTCTGAGAAATCAGCTGACATTCTGATGGGAACTCCTTTGTAGGCAACTGTCCCCTTATCTCTTGCTGCTTCTAGAATTCTCTCCTTCATTTTTACCTTGGGTAATGTAATTATGATGTGCCTTGACATGTTCCTCCTTAGGTCCAACCTCTTTGGGACTCTCTGAGCTTCCTGGACTTCCTGAAAGTCTATTTCCTTTGTCAGATTGGGGAAGTTCTCCTTTATTATTTGTTAAAATAACTTTTCCACTTGTTGCTCTTCCTCTTCCCCTTCTGGTACCCTTATAATTTGGATGTTGGAACATTTAAAGATGTCCTGGAGGTCCCTAAGCCTCTCCTAATTTTTTTTGATTTCTTGTTTCTTCATTCTTTTCTGTTTGGTTGTTCCTTTCTTCCTTCTAGTTCCTTCCATTGATTTGAAACCCAGTTTTCTTTCCATCACTATTGGTTCCCTGTGCATTTTCCTTCATTTCTATTATTATAGCCTGCATTTGTTCATCTAAGTTATGACCAAAGTCAACCAATTCTGTGAGCATCCTGATCACCAGTGCTTTGAACTGTGCATCTGATAGGTTGGCTATCTCTCGGACACTTAAAAAAACTGACACTGGAGCTTTTAATTCTGTTTGAGCCATCTTTTTTATTTATTTTTTTTTTCCTTTTTGGTCTGGTCACGCCTATTACGCATGAGGGGCGGAGCCTTAGGTGTTCACCAGGGCAGAGCACCTCAGTCGCTGGGTTGTGACATCATATGTGGGGGCGGAGTCCAAGAGGGAACAATGGCGCCCGCTCCGCTCTCTCTAGGACTTCAGTCCCCTGTGCCGCTTCCCACAAGCAAATTGGACCCTTCTGGTGCTGATTCCCGGGGTGGGTGGGCGTGTGTACTTTCTAGGACTCTGTGGGTCTCCCAAAGGAGCTCTCCTGTGAGGCTGAGAGAATCTCCCGGCACCTCAACCCCCACAGGTGTTTTCAGTTGGTGCTTTTAGGCTTTGTTTCTCGGCGCTGGGTCCCTGGGTTGCGCGGTCTGTGTCGCTGCCCATTTTTTCCTGGTTTATCTGCGCTCAAAGGTGTGACTGCGGACAGCCAGCTGCCTTGTGCACCTCACTGGGTCTGCTTGTGGCCTCCCGTGTCCAGGATCTGCCACCAGGTTCGTCAGCTGCCCCTGCGTGTCTGGGGTCCACCAACTGCCGCCTGCACCCTGTGCGCCCGCCTCTGCCAGCCACCGCTTTTTCCTGCCGGGACCCCTCGCCCCCTCTCCATAGACCTCGGACTCCGCCCCTCCTTACTGGACTGGATATATGGTAGTCAGGCTTCCGTTCGGTTCATTTCTCTCTGTTCTGGTTGTTTTTTGTTTGTCAATTCTTGTCGTCCTTAGTTTTGGTTGCTCGAGGAGGCACAGTGAGACCACCTATGCCTCCATCTTGGCTGGAAGTCAAAATAAATAAAATCTTTAAAAATAAACAAAAGATACTCAACTGGTTAAACAATAACAAAGTCAGGTGTGGGCTGCCCCCTTCTCATTTTCCCCAAACCCCTTATTTTCCCATGAAGAACATTTTCTTCATTCAATGAGGAATCCTTAAACCTCTGCATTCAGAATCTCCCAAATGCTCTCTTCTTTCCATTGTCTTCCTCCTGGCTTTTCTGTGAATGGGCTTAGTAACCAGCAGAGAACAAACAAACAAACAAACAACAACACCATATGTGTGGTTCATAACAAATGCAGGAGTAAGATGCACGCCGGGCGGCACAGGGGCCAGGAGGGACGATGGACGGACGTCAGTGTGCAGTCCAGGCACCAGTCGGCACGCCAGCAGCAGTTTCTCTGTCTCCCTTCGTTTCCATGGCTTTGGCCATTGCGAGGAGCACTGGTCCGTTTTGCAGAACGCGTCTCAGTTGGGGTCTGCCTGATGTGCGGGCGGTCGGCCGAGGGCCTGGGTGTGGAGGGGAGACCTCAGAGGCGAGTTGGTCACCACACCCCGGCAGAGGGCCCGCCCACGGGGCCCCCCACTGCTGACGCCGACCTCAGTCGCTCGGTGAAGGTGCTGTCTGCCAGGAGTTTCTTCTGTAAAAGTGCTGCTCTTCCTTTCCCATACCCTAGTCCAGCCATTTTCAACGGGTGTGCTGAACCTCCCCCAACTCAGACCTCCTGATTCCTCGGTCTCTCCTCTCCCGACCCCAGCCCCCGTGCCCAGGCCAGAAACCCTGGACTCACCCTGAGTCCCTCCCCTTTTCTCCTGCACCCTGCCTGCCAGCAGACCCGGCCTGCTGTGGCCTCAGACTGCGGCCTGGACCTGCCCGGGGTCTTCCCTATGCCCCTCTGCCCCTTCAGAGTCCCAGCTGCACTTCCCTCCCAGCCCCTCCCCCACAACCTCCCGGCCCACTCCCCTCCCTCCAGGACCCTCGTGCCTCTCTGCTCACAGCTCTCCCCTGGTTCCCGGTGGCAAAGAGCTGCAGCCTCCTGCCTCCCCGTCCTCCCCTTTCAGACCAGGCCATCTCCCTGCAGCGTCTTCGGCCCATCCAGCTCGGTCCTGCATCACACCCTCTGCCCAGGGCTCCACGGGCCCCCCAGCTGCTTGTATGAGTCGATGTGGCATCGTCCGGGAGACCCCACCCCCTGGCAGTAGAGAGGGTCTTCAGCCTGTGCACTGCAAACCCCATCCCCTCAGATGGCAGGGGGGTTTCAGGAGGGCAGGGAATTTGTGGATGAGACCAAGTCCCCAGCCTGAAGCCTCGCAGACCCCTCTGAGCAGCCTCCCGGAGTCAGACGAGCTGGCGTGCCCTTCTCACCCCTGTCCAAAGCTACCAGGCGGCCTGGGCACTGGGGGTCAGGCCGCAGGGCATCACCCAGCCAGCCTGGCTGCATGGCCCACACCCCACGCTCCTCACCTCCCCCACCACACGGTCCCCGCACTTCCAGTGCCAGGCTCTGCCCACCCTCTTGAGCCCGTCCCCTTGGTAAAAGCTGGGCACTGCCACTCTTGGGACGACTCGGACCCTATCTTCTGAGGGGCAGGCGTCCTGCACTGGTGCCCGGGACGGCCTAAAGCAGTTCCAGCAGCCCCTGGACCCTGCCCCAGGTGGGGGTGCTGGTGGGGGAAAGCCTCGGGACTGGAAGTCCACCCTGAGCCACGGTTCTGGGCAGGGCCAGCTCTAGGGGCAGGTGACCTCAGCAGCTGCACAAAGCCCTACGCTCAGAAGGGCCTGTGGCTTAACGCTCTAGTGTCACCTCATGGAAACGCTTCACAACTTTTTAACAAGGGGCTCCGCATGCTCACTCTGCCTGGGGCCCTGCAAATCACACAGCTGGTCCTGGCTCCAGGGGCGCTCAGCCGACACAGTGCGCCAAGACCTAATTCACCAGCAGGGCCACGAGGGAGGGTGTGACCAGGAAAACCAGGCGGACGGCGCCAGGCGTGCCTCCTGGGCCCCCGTGGCTCACTGCCTTCTCTGCTGCCACAGCAGCTCCTGGCACCCAGCGGGCAGGAACACCCACTGGATAAGGGGACAGGCACTGGGGTTCCAGCAGACACAAGGGCCTCCCCCCAGCTGGCGGTGAGCCCTGGCCTAGGGCTCTGCTGCAGGGACTTCCGGGCTGTCTAGTCCGGGGTGCACCTCCAGACACAGGGCTTGGACCTGTGGCTGTGCCCGGCCCCACTGCCGAGTGGACCAGGGACAGGCCCCTGACCCGGGCAGGACCCCTCAGATTTGGGCTCTGGGATTCTGCTTGCTGGTCAGCGTTGGAGGCCGGGCAGGACCGGCTCAGGGCTGCTGTCCCAGGGGGCAGAGCAGCCCATACCCCACCCCTCTCTGACGCTGGGTCCCCCCCCTCGGAGTCCTGGTGGTGCTCAGGCTTGAGTCCCACCCATACCCCCACCTCTCAGCTCGGACTCCCTGACAGCAGCCTGGAGGCCCTGGGAAGGGGGTGCTAGGAGGAGACCCTGGCAGGGGGCCTTCCCCACGCCTGGAGAGGAGACCACCGGGACTGAGCGGCAGCTTTACTGAGAGGAGGCCAGGGGTGGGGCCGGGCTGCGAGAGGAGCTGGAGGGGGAGGGGCAGGCCGACGGGCGAGGAGGGAAGGGGGGCAGGGCAGGGCGGGGCGGGCTGCAGGGTCACACGTCCAGGTCCAGGTCCGACTGGCAGCTTTTGTCGCAGGCCCTGGTCTTGCGCTGCCAGACCCTGGGGCTGACGGTGGTCCCCAGGGGCCAGTGGCGGACCACGTGCCGGTAGGACGTAGTCAGGCAGTCGAAGTAGTTAATGTTGAGCTTCCGGGCGATGTGACGGCCCAGGAATTCCATTTGCTGGGGGAGCGTGTGGCAGTCAGTTCCGGCTGGGGCAGGAGAGGCCCCACCGCCGCCCGACCCCTCCCAAGGCGTCCCCTTCCGTCGCCAGGCCGCACCGCCGGGCTTGCGGGTCAGCCCCAGCAGCGCCCACTCCACCACCGGCTCCAGCACAAAGGCCAGGCCAGGACTGCCTGCAGAATGGCCTCATCCTAAGACCTAAGCAGTGGTCAAGGTCACGTTGAGCCAAGGAAGGAGGGAGGGTCTGTCTGAGCCCAGGGCTGGCTGGGGCCGGACCCACCTCGTAGCGATCGGACAGCTGCACCAGCACCAGCGGCTCCAGCTTGTGGCCGCACAGAACCAGTTGGAAGAAGCACCTTCCATAAGCTAGCGGAGGGCAGGTAGCTCAGCCTGGGGGGCGTGGGAGGAGGCGGAAACTCGGGGGAGGGGCGGGGTCGGCGGGCTCCCAGGGAACGCGCAGCTCTGGCTTGCCTGCCCCCTTCCCTCGCACGCACTCCCCACGCCCGCCCCCGCGTGCGTCACCGTCAGAGCTGAGCGCCAGGCGCACGTAGAGCAGGTGCAAGGGTCCCTGAAACACGGTGTGGCCCTGGATGGAGAAGTTGTACATGCCGAGCTCTTGGTTCAGCACCAGGCGACGGCGCGGCAGAGATGAGATCATGATCCACAGGCCCACGGCCACCCCGTACGCGGGGAAGACCCACGTCTGCTGCTTCTGCACCTGTGGGCGCCGCGGGGAACATCTCAGCTCTGTTCTGGCCCCCGGGGAAGGTGGGGGGGGGTGTGAGGGGAGGCGGGCCCAGGAGCTCAGACCTGGTTCACCAAGCCGAAGCTGAGCAGGAAGAGGCCGACGAGAAAGAGCAGCATCCCCTTCCACAGAGTGTCCAGGTAGTACTCCAGCTGGAAGACTGCGGTGGCGCGGCCGGGGCGCGTGAGGACAGTCAGCCCCTGCTCTTCGCAGGAATGGCGGCACCAGGGCTCCGCCTCGGACACCAAGCATCTGCTGGCCCCGCCCCAGCCGCCCCCTACTCAGTCCCAGGCCCCACCCCTGCATCGCGGCCCCGCCCAGACGCGCGCACCGTTGGGCTGCAGCTCCGTGAAAGGGTAGAAGCTGTTGCTCTTGAGGCGCTTAGCCAGGTGGCGCTCGTTGCAAAAGAGTCCTAGGTTCCAGAGCTGGAAGCGCTTTCCGAAGGAAGACCTGGAAAGGCCGCTGATCCAGCCGTTGGAGGCCTGGGCCTGGGTCAGGCACAGGAGGTCAGCTGGGCGGCGAGTCGGCGCCACCCACTGCCCACAGTTGCGCTCGTACCGGGAAGAAAGTTTCCAGGGCTGCGGTCCAGGAAGGAGCAGGAGCTCACAGGCGACAAGCAGGGGAGCAGAGCGACACCAGGTGGCGGCGGCCCAGACTGGGCTGCGGCTCGCGTTCTAGAACCTTGAGGTGGTGGGTTCTAGAAGGGTCCATACTGTTGATTACCCCTTCTTAGTAGGGTCTCCTGGCCAGGTCACTATGGTGGGCATTCACTTCCCTGCTGGTCCTGCCACACCCACGGAAGGCTCCCCGTAAAGCCTGGTTCAAATCCTTAACTGAAGGATGGGGTGGTGGGACGCCTCAGCCCTAAGGTGCACAGAAATCTGTACGCAGTGTACCTCACAAAACCCATGGCTGAGCCGCCCCCCCACCACATCTGCCCAGGCCAGAGCCTCACACACAACCACACACAGCCCACTGAGGCGTCCCCCAAAGCAGACCCTCGCACACTGAGCTCAGGATTCCAGCCCAGCAGTGAGCCCTGGGGTCACCCCCCAAAAACAGCACAGGCTCCAGGCAGCTCTAGCTGCGAGGGGCTCCCTCAGGTATGAGCCCTGTCCCCTCACTCCAACCCCAAGGACCACACAGAGTTCTTAGAAACGTTTATTGTAACAAAATGTTCCAATATCCAAAACTGGAAGGGTGTAGAGCCAGGCTGCCTAGCTGGGGGAGGCAGGGCTGGTGAGCAGCTGCTCCAGGCACCGCTGGACGTCCTCTGGGCCCCGGTAGGCCCGCTTCAGACCCCGTGGGAGGCAGCGGCAGGACTCCAGGTTGAGGAACCGCAAGCCCGGGCAGCTGCTGATCACAGAGCTGTGGGGCAGGGTAGGCCGTGGGGTGAGCCACCGGCCCCCAGGAGACCCAGGCCCCGGCAGGACCGGGCCAGGCTGGGGAGCCCCCTCTGCCCGTGTGCCACAGCTGGTTCTGCCACCCTAGCCCCCAAGGTCCAGCTCCAGTCCCCTTGGTGTCCCCTGGGCTGACCCCCAGCAGAGGCCTGACCCGTATGCGCTCCCCTTTGGACCCCTGGAGCTGGCAAGCCAGGCAGGATGGGGAGCGCGTCATACTGGCTCCAAGGGACCAGGGGAGAGGGTGCTGACCTGACCGTGCTTGGTGTGACCCGAGTGCCCCTGAGGTTGAGGGAGCACAGAGCTGGCTGTGAGCCCCCAGGGGTGCCTGAGAAGGCAGCCAGGGCCTGCTCCAAGTCCTTCTCGCTGAAGCCCTGGCCACTTAAGTCCAGTTCCCGCAGAGTGTGGGCCCACTTCTCAGTCAACAGGGGGCTGCCCTCCTTGGCTAGAGTCAGCCGGTCAGACATGCCGTACAGGCCCAGATAAAGCTGCTCCAGCTCTGGAGATGAGAGGGGTGGGGATGAGCTGTGGGGTGGGCAAGGGTCCCTGAGTCACCCCTGCCCTGCCACCACCCAGGGAGAGCTGACCCCGACACGGCAGGTCACGCAGGCCAGCAGGTGTGATTCGGGCACAGCCGCGGAGATCCAGAAGGCGCAGGTTAGGGGAGCTGTGCAGCAGGCGTCCCAAGGCCTCGTCGCTCACGAAGTTGCAGGTGGGGCCAGCGAGGCAGAGCTCCTCGAGGCTGGGGAAGCCTGGGCCGGGAGTCGCCGCTCGCCCAGGAGGTTTGGGCAGCCACACCAGATTCAGCAGCCGCAGCACCTGGGAGCAAGGCCCAGGCTGCAGGTGGGGAGAGGGGTGACAGGGGGCAGAGGTGGGGTGTCAGGTACCTGCAGCTGGGGGCAGGCTCTCTGCAAGGCCTCCACGGGCAGCTGGAGGGGAGTGTTGTTTCGGTTGATGCCCGTGCTCACCTCAAGGAGCTGGAGCTGGGGGCAGCAGCTGCTCTGCAGAGGTGGGGGTGAAGCGGGTCGGTGGCCTGGCAGTCCCTGGTTCTGCACCCGCTCTGCTCCTGCCTGTCACCAACCTACCAGCAGTGCACCCAAGATGGCTGTTGTCTGGGAGCTGCAGGTCAGCCACAGCTTGCGCATACGGGGCCCCACCTCCTCCAAGAAGCTCACCACGGCCGTGGACTCCACCTGGGGACCCAGCACAGGGTTACCTGTCACCTTGGCTTGGGCTTCCTCGGGGCCCCTGGGAACGCAGGGCTCACCATGGAATGCTGTATGTCCAGGCTGTGGAGCTGAGGACAGGCTCTGGCCAGCCCAGTCAAAGTGTCAGGGGTCACACCGTGGCAGTCAGAAAGCTTGAGGAAGGTGAGCCGAGGACAGGACTCGCTTACAAGCTGTCGGAGACAAAGGTCCAGTGGAACTGGGGGAGGGCAGGCTATGGTGATAAGGAAAGAAACCAGGGGCTGGTGCCACTCTATTGCCTCAGCTCTGACTTCCTTTCTGTCCATGCCGGGCCCACCTGGGGCTCCTACTTCCAGCATCTCCCTGGTGGAGGAGACAAGAAAGGAGAACCAGGCAGGTGTCCCCATGGAACAGTGGTGGGCCCTGCAGTGCCTGACCCAGTCCCTGGGAATAACAAGCAAGCCCAAAGTGTGACAGCTGAGGTGCAGGGAAGCCGTGAGTACTCACCTTCAACACAGCATGTACCTGGGACTTCCAGTGGATGAGCGTCAGCCTCTGGAGCTGCGAGAACCTGCAGGAACGGCAGAAGCAATTCCGCACAGTGTCCCCATGCTGTCTTCTTCTGGGTCCTCCCCACCCGTCACCTTGGTGCAGGAAGGGGCCTGGGACTTTCCACACAACACAGGTGCAGTAAGGGGATAAAGAAAAGAGGGGACGCCTCACCGATTGGGCATAAACCACTCCAGGGAAGCAAGGAGCTTCTTCTCAGCCTTGGCCCCCGCTTTAGTAGGGCGGCCGGCCAGTGGTGGCGACAGGGTGACGGTGTGCCAGAGAGCAGGCTGGGAGGCCGCCTCGTGCCAGCGGCGGCACACACGTGCAGCCCTGGAAGAAAAGCTCTGCTGAAGGGCAGGGCCTTTTGTGGTCGATGCCACCCCCCGGACGCCGCAGCTCTTACAAAGCTGAGGGCGTTTCAGCTCAAAGTCGAGCGCCTGGGGCTCCAAATGGATTCCCGAAGAGGCTGTGCTCTCTGGTATGCGTGTGGACGCGCTCACGCTCAGACGTCCCCGCCTCCGCCACCCGCTGGATAGCAACAGGTCAGCCAGAGCCAGGCCGCTGCGCTCGATGGGTCCGGGGTACCTGCCGAGGAAGGGCACAGGCCCATCGGCCGCCACCAGCAACCCGAAAATCTGCAACAGGATTTCCAAAGGGATGCGGTCGCCCCAGCCCGGGTCGGGCCCTTGCTGAGGCGCGGGTGTAGGAGCCGGAGCAGGTGCGGGTGCGGATTTCGGCTTGGCCTTGGCCGCCGTGGCGCGGGACCCAGGCAACCGCAGCCGCTGAGCGCGGCGGGCGGCGCGCCTGTGCGCGCGGGCGCGGGCGGGCCCCGAGCCGGGCAGCACCAGCAGCATGCTGTCCGACTGCAGCAGGTGGTACCCGGAGCCGCTCGGCGCCAGCCGGTCCCACCACCAGTCCTCGGCCGAACGGGCCCGCACCCCAGCCGGCGGCGCGCCCCGGACTCGGCGCCGGGCCCGCCGCGCCACTCCGGGCGCCATCCCAGGAGCCAGACCCAGGGGAGCGGAAGGGGCGGGGCCGGAGGGCGGGGCTGGCCCCTCCCCGCAGACTCAGCACCCGCTTCCGGGCACGGGACTTCCGGCGGTGGATGTTGAGCGTGCCGGCCAGCGAGTGCGAGTTCTTTCTCTGTCCCGACCACACACCCCGCTCTCACCGGCTCTGGGCTGGAGCCACGGCCTTGGGCCGGAGGCGGCGCCCTCGCCGCGTGGCCTGCCGGCCTGCCTCCGACCCGGGGAGCACCCGGGCGCTGCACCGGGGGCGCGGGGACTCCGTCGCCCCGGGCTGCTGTCCACCGCCCACCCGACGCAGCGAGGGCGTCCTCGCTTCGGCTACATCCCTTCAAAGCCCCACCGGTCTCCCGCCTCCTGGGTCTCGCCCAAGCTCCTCCAGACTCCCAGGTGGGCGCGGAAGACGCAGAGGCACGTGTGGCGCCCGCCTGAGGGGTACCCCTGCCACGGAGTCCTTGTCTCCGTGTCTGTTTTGGGGTGAGGCTGGCGGCAGTCTCGACAATCAGACCCGAAGCCAGCTCCCTCGTTACCATCCTTCCTGGGGGGCCGCCGCGGCAGTTTGGACCCAGCTTTTTGCTTCTCCACCTTGCCGTGTCGTGGTCCTGACAGCGGGGACAGGTACTACGTCGTATATTTGGGCCCCTCCTCCCCACCCCCGTCCTTCCCGGGTCTTGGCTGTCTGGCCTTCTCCTGACTCCTGCGTCTCTTCCTTGTGCTTTCTTCCGCCTGCGCGTCTGTATCCTTCAGGCTAGAAACGCTCTTCAGTTTCCAGAAGAGCGGAAGCGCCTTCTCTGGACCTAGGTGGGGACCCAGCCCTGTCCTGGGGGTTCCAGCCTTGGCTGGATGGCCGCGCCTCCGCTGGGCCGTCTGGTGTTGACCCACCTGTTGGTAGCCCTCTTCGGCATGGGCTCCTGGGCTGCCGTCAACGGGATCTGGGTGGAGCTGCCGGTGGTGGTGAAAGACCTCCCTGAGGGTGAGTGAGAGTGCACCGGCAAGTGAGGGCAGGCCAGCTCCACCCCAGGGAGGGCTGCCGCAGTCTTGTCCCTTAGCCTCTGAGGTGGCCTCCTCCCTTCCCTGCAGGTTGGAGCCTCCCCTCCTACCTCTCTGTGCTCGTGGCGCTGGGGAACCTGGGCCTGCTGGCGGTGACTCTGTGGAGACGGCTGGCCCCGGGCAAGGGCGAGCAGGCGCCCATCCAGGTGGTGCAGGTGTTGAGTGTGGTGGGCACCGCGCTGCTAGCGCCTCTGTGGCAGCAGGTGGCACCGGTGGCGGGGCAAGACCACTCGGTGGCCTTCCTGACACTGACCTTTCTGCTGGCACTGGCCTGCTGTGCCTCGAACGTCACTTTCCTGCCCTTCCTGAGCCACCTGCCGCCCCCCTTCCTGCGGTCCTTCTTTCTGGGCCAGGGCCTGAGTGCCCTGCTGCCCTGCGTGCTGGCCCTGGCGCAGGGTGTGGGCCGCCTCGAGTGCCCGCCGGCCCCCATCAACGGCACTCCTGGGCCTCCCCACAACTTCCCAGAGCGTTTTCCCGCCAGCACCTTCTTCTGGATACTGGCTGCCCTCCTGGTCACGTCGGCCGCCGCCTTCCAGGGTCTCCTGCTGCTGTTGCCGTTACCACCGTCCACACCCACGGGGGGCCCGGGGCCCGGCCTGCAGGTGGGAGGAGCCCCAGGAGTGGAGGACGAGGAGGAGGCCTTGCCACTGCAGGAGCCACCTTTCCAGGTGGCGGCCAGCACCCCTGGCCCAGACCCGGAGGCCCATCGGCTGCTCTCGGCCCACAGTGTCTGCCTGCTGGGCCTGCTGGCCGTCACCAACGCGCTGACCAATGGCGTGTTGCCTGCTGTGCAGAGCTTCTCCTGCCTGCCCTACGGACGCCTGGCCTACCACCTGGCCGCAGTTCTGGGCAATGCCGCCAACCCCCTCGCCTGCTTCCTGGCTATGGGCGTGCTGTGCAGGTGCACAGGGGCCTGAAGCCACTCGGGCTGGGACTCAGGGACGGGGACCCGGTCCCGGGACAGCCGGCCCTGACTTTCTGCTTTTCCCCGGCAGGTCCTTGGCAGGGCTGGGCGGTCTCTCTCTGCTGGGCATGCTCTTTGGGGCCTACCTGATGGCGCTGGCGGTCCTGAGCCCCTGCCCGCCCCTCGTGGGCACTCCCGCAGGGCTGGTGCTCGTGGTGAGTACACTGGGGACCCCGAGGCAAGCAGGGTGGGGAGGGGGGTTGGCCACAGAGCTGGGGGCACCGCTCGCTCAGCCTGCTGCTGTGTCTGCCCCCCAGGTGCTGTCATGGGTGCTGTTCGTGGGACTGTTCTCATACGTGAAGGTGGCCGCCAGCTCCCTGCTGCATGGGGGCGGCCAGCCGGCACTGCTGGCAGCGGGCGTGGCCATCCAGGTCGGCTCCCTGCTCGGAGCGGTCGCCATGTTCCCTCCCACCAGCGTCTACCACGTGTTCCGCAGCGGGAAGGACTGTGTGGATCTCTGTGGACCCTAAACCCGGGCAGGTGGGGACTTCACTCCACCCTACCTGCCTTCAGGTGCACTGGCCGCTGCCCGGGGAGGCCCTCCCCATGCAGGGGCACCAGCACAGGCCCTGCACACTCCGCAGAGGGCCCTGGCACGTCCGGCCCGAGCAAGGTCCACACTGGGGCCGTGGGCAGGCCTGGAGCCGGGCCCCGGCCCGGGGTGGGCGTTGCGCAGTAAACACGTTTACCCCAGGACTCCCTCCTCTCGTGCAGATGGGGACGTCCCCGGAGCCTCCGCGGGGGTCTGGTGGTTCTGGAGGAGCCCCCCACACACACACACACTGTGCTGGTGGTTCCTGGGATTAGGCCCTCCGAGCCCAGGCCTCCTGCCTGCCGCCCACCCCTGATCATTGCCTCTCAGACCCGCCCCCCACCCGCCCCCTGAGAACTGCCCCGAGGGAGGGCAAAGGCCCACTTCTGGGCCAAGGACACACGCAGGCCTGGGCGGTCGGAGGCAGCATGGTGTCCACTCAGTGCCAGCCCATCCGGCATCTCCAGCTAAGTGGTAAGGCCCCCTCCCTCTGGGCCACTGCCCCACAGCCTCCTCCAGGCGTGTGCTGGGTCCAGCCAGCCAGGCCCAGTCGTCAGGCGGGGTGGCTGTCCCCGCTTTGTGACCTGAGCCTGGGTGTGGTCCTCCTCCCCTGCCGCTCTCTGGGGGTCCTGCCTGGGCCTGGCTGCCGCCTCCAGGCATTGGGAGGGGCTCGGCAAGTGGGACTGGGACTGCAGCGTAAGGTTCCAGCCAGTCTTGGGACCTTTCTTCTCAAGAGCACTGACCCCTTCCCTGAGCCTCCAGCCTCCGGTTTCTGGCTTTTTCCACGACCAGACTCCCACATGTCCCAGACCCTCTATTCAGACATCAGCTGCCCCTTCCTGAGCAGCTCGCACCGCCCTGGGACAGGCGGCTGCCTCTCTGTGCCAGCCACAGCACGTCCTGAGGGTGGGGGTGCTCTCCAGCCAGACTGAACACCGGAGCTGAGCCTCGGAGGTGTGCAGGTGGGGGCCGCCGTGGGGGGGGGGCGCAGTGAGGCCCCACAGGAATCGGGAAGTGAGCACTGCTGTCCCTGCCCCCAGCTCCTTCCCATGATTGTTCTGGTCCTTGACTCGGCCCGGCCCGTGTGGGGGCCTCTTCCTGTCATTCCTCTATACCCCCACCCCCACCCCACCCGCCTCGGCAGGACCGACAGAACATGAGGGAGTCCCCCATGGACTCAAGGGCAAGGCCTGCACACCTTGACCGCCAGAACTTCTGGTCCGGGGTTCCAGCAGCCCAGCCGTGAGGAGAGGCGGCCACCAGCCGGGCCCTAGTTCCTGGGGCCGCTGGGCCTGGCTGCTTGATTTGGGGATGGGGGCTTGGGGGCGGTGAGTGAAGATGCAGGGAGGAGGACGAGGCAGGGTGGGTGGCACGGCCCTGGGTGCGCCCTCCCCACACCCCTCATCAGCACGTCGCCCCCCTCCCCCACACGCATCACCCTGGGGCTGGAAGGGGGGTTGGAGGAAGCCGCTGCCCTTTGAAGTCTGCAGTGCCTCCCGGGCCTGAGAGCCACCCGGCACACCCTTCCCTCCGGTGGCTGCCCGGAGCCGGGCGCGAGGCCAGGGAGGCAGGACGGCCCACCATGCCAGGCCCCTCAGGGCTGGGCCCTGCCTGCAGGGCCTGTTGGGGTGCTTGAGCCTCCAGCTGGGCAGTAGGTGGCAGTTGCTCTGGCGCTCCCAGCTCTGCCCAAAGATCCTCTCAGTCTTGGGGCGAGGGCAGTTGAAGGTGACCTCGGAGGGAGGCCGTGGCCCAGGCAGGTCCTAAGGCAGCACGTTGTCCCCAGAGGGCAGGTCCGGGCAGCCACCACTCCCAGGTGTGGCCACCTCAGCTGGGCCCAAGCAGGGAGCGCCAGGCCGGGCTCTGGGCAAGGGGCTGAGGTGGGGCCTTCACCTTCCCAGGCCAGCGCTTCTCAGCCCAGAGCCCCCACAGGTATAGGTTCTGATGTGCTTGGAGCTGTAGTGGCCCCTGGATGACAGAATGGTCTAGTCCCCACATTTGCATCTGCTCAGAGCCCCACTACCTGACTTGGGGGCGTTTAAAGGGGCTCCCTCCCCGCCGTGGAATTCTAAGGGGCCTCCCAGCCTCCCTGAAACAGTAGTGTCGGGGTGGCTGGGTCCTTGCTCCTGACCATCAACGATTCCAGTATCTGCTGCTCTGGTCTCCGGGAGCCTGCTGCCCACTGCCCTGAGGTCACTTGGGCCTCTTCCAGCCCAGACACTGGCTTGAAGCATGTGGGATGCAGGGCTCTGCTCCATCTTCCCGCGCCTGGAGGACAGTCTGTCTTTCTTTTGGTGACTCCCCTGTCACACTCCCTGGGGTCCCTCCCTCTCCTGGCCCCCACCCCCGGCTCCCTAGCAGGATGCGTCCCTGACCTGCTCCACCTGCAAAGGAGAGTCCCCAGGGCCTCTGACCCCAGCCAGGCCAAGTGGGCCGCGGGCAGGACCTTCCTCAGCTGCACCACCCAGGCGGGGCTCCCGTGTGGTCTCTTGGGGCGTCCGGGGGGAGCGCTGTGATTCGATGAGAAGCTGCAGGCTGACCTCGAAACTCCGGTCCCTTTGCTCGGGCAGTGAAGACCAAGCTCACCGAGGAGGCCAGCTAAGGGGATCCCTGGGGGGCCACCCCATGGTGTCCCCATGGAAAGCCATGCTGCAGACACCCAGTCTCAGAAGGCCGTGGCAGACAAGGGAGGAGCGCCAAGTCTAGACGCCAGTCCCTGGGAAGGCCGCCAGCTGGTCACCCCCACGGCAGCCTTGGCTCAGACACCTGCGAGGAGATGAGGGTGGATCGGAACGTCTTCCGAGAGGGGCCTGATGGAGGAGAGTTCTGGCTGGGTCGACACTAACCATCCCGCCTCCCTGTGACATCGGTTGGCTCAGGGAGTGCGTCCCCTGCTGGCCTCCCTGGCACCCCAAGTGAGGTTCCCCTTCCTGGAGCTCCACAGGGTGGGGGTTCGTGCACCTGTCTGTCTGTGTCTGTGTGGCTGGAAGTTTCCATTCTGCCGCCCAGTGGAAGAGCTGAGTCACGCAGCAACACTGTGCTGACCGTTTCAAACCCTGCCGGACAGTTTTCCAGAGCGGTTGCACGACCCCACCCACACAGAGGGCTCCGGTTTCTCCCAGGGGGTCTTGCGGAGTGGGTGTCCCCTGCGGACAGCTCAGGGGCCGGCACTCCTCAGGCTTGTTCACAGGTGGTGACCACGAGGAGGGCAGCCAGCAGAGGCGCTGAGCCTTCCCCAGATCAGGGCTGCACCTGCAAAAGGGTGTGAATGCCAACGTTTCGGAAGCCACAGGCCCTGCAGGAAGTCCCTGGAGATTTGCTGGTGCCCCCCCCCCCCAAACTCCTGTGGTCCTTCGCCTGCCGTCTCTGCCGACAGGAGCGCAGGTTTCCCGCCGATCGTGTCCTTCGGGTGTTAGCTCAGCCCACCCCGACCAGTCCAGTTGGAACCCCGTCTCTTCCAGTCTGAGTTTCCAACCGTCCACATGTGACTCCCCATGAAGCTCCGTACAAACGGGGGTGTCTCTGTGGCCTCCACTCCTGACTCAGTTGATCGCCGTACTGATACCTTTCATGCAGTCTTAGATTTTCTGTGCGATGCCTTAGGATTATTTCATGTTGTATGTCATCATTTTTTTTCAATAAGTTTTCATAATTTTTTAAAACTAATTTTGGCTCTGGGTTTTTTTTTAAGGTTTTTGTTTATTTTTAGAGAGAGGGGAAGGGAGGGAGAAAGATCAGTGTGTGGTTGCCTCTCATGTGCCCTCTACTGGAGACCCAGCCTGCAACCCAGGCCTGTGCCCTGACTGGGAACTGAACTGGTGACCCTTTGGTTCGCAGCCCGCACTCGATCCACTGAGCTATACCAGCGGGGGCAGTTTCCATGATTTTTAACGAACGTAAAAACTATCCACTCATATTTATAAATCAGGTGTCACATTCACTGTCTTCTCTTACATGTAAAAATGTTGGGTAGTGCCCTGGCCAGCACTCAGGTGGCTCGAACGTAAAACGAACGTAACGAACGTAAACGAAGTTTAACGAACGTAAAAACTATCCACTCATATTTATAAATCAGGTGTCACATTCACTGTCTTCTCTTACATGTAAAAATGTTGGGTAGTGCCCTGGCCAGCACTCAGGTGGCTCAGTTGGTTGGAGTAGAGTGTCGTCCTGCAAAGCGAAAGGTTGCTGGTCTGATTCCCGGTCAGGGCACACCCCCAGGTTGCAGGTTCAATCCTCCGGTCGGGGCGCATAAGAAAAGGCAACTAATGTTTCTCACTCTCTTCACCCTTTCCTCTCTCTCTAAATGATAAAAAAGTCCTTGGGTGAGGATAAAATAAATAAATAAAATAAAATAGCCCTGGCTGGTGTGACTCAGTGGATTCAGCACCACCCTGAGAACCAAAAGGTCACCAGTTCAATTCCCAGTCAGGGCAAGTGCCTGGGTTGCAGGCTGGGTCTCCAGTAGGGGGCGCATGAGAGGCAACCACACATTGATGCTTCCATTTCCCCATCCCTTCCCCTCTCTAAAAGTAAAAAAATAAATAAAATTAAAACTTAAAACCATCTGTAAATCATATCAATTTACTAGACTATAAACTGAAATGCAACCTTTTAAAAATGTATATTTTATTTTTGGAGGGGAAGGGAGGAAGAAAGAAAGAGGCAGAGAAACATCAATGTGTAGTTGCCTCTCATGCATCCCATGCATGTGCTCCAACTGGGAATCAAACCAGCAACCCTTTGATTTTCAGGCCGGTGCTCAGTCCACTGAGCCACACCAACCAGGGCTGAAATGCAAGATTTTGTGTTTTGTGTTTTTTTTTTTAATTCATTTTTTTTAGAGAGGGACTGGAGGGAGAAAGAGAGAAACATCAATGTGCGGTTGCTGGGGGCCATGGCCTGCAACCCAGGCATGTGCCCTGACTGGGAATCGAACCTGCGACTTTGTTTCGCAGCCCGAGCTCAATCCACTGAGCTACGCCAGCCAGGAAAATGCAAGATTTTGAAGTGACAGCTGATGCTCACTGAATCATCTCCTGACCCTGCTAATCTGACCTTTCCTGAAAGTGTCCTTACTTTTCCCGGCAATGCTAACGTTTCTGTGGGTTCACTAGGAGCCTGTCACTCCTTTCACCACGGCCTACCCAGAAACTGGTGACGAACCCCGGGCTGGCGGGCTGGCGGTGCGCTGTCCTCCTGCTGGAGCTGCTCGTGACGCGGGTGTGATGGGCCGCTCTGATGGGGCTCGGGCTGGCCGCCGGCGTCAGTGCTCACACAACCCTGCCGTTCTGTGGGTTCTGGGCCCTACAAGTGATCAGGAAGGTCATTCCCTGCTGGGCCCAGGAACTGAGAAATTTGCCCAAATGATAGGAAGTGTGTTTCTCACCTTGGGAAAACAAGGAACAGAGCCTTTTGGAAGTCAGTCTGAGGCTTCTTATGAAAATTTCAGCAAAGCAAACTTAAGGCGGTCCAGGTGGTCTGGGAGCATTTGGAGCACCACACAGGCAGCGGCCGCGCTGGTTAAGGGGGTTAATAGCAGCTGCCCTTGAGGGCCCCGAGCGACCCTTATTTGAAATCTCCTGTGCTACTCAGAGGGCAGCTCAGGTGGTTAGAGTGTCATCCGATACACTGAGGTCGTAGGTCTGAGCCTCTCCCCGGCCAGGGCACACACGAGAAGTCGCCCAGTGAAGGCACACATGCACCAGTGGAACAGCAAGTCAGCGGCTCCCTCTCGCCCTCAGATCAGTACGTAAAGGGTTTCAAAAAGTCAGAGGGGTAGGGAAGACCGTGATGAAAATTTTAAACTTCGGGGTAAACAGAATACATTACTGATGCTTCCGGCGGGAGCCCTCGCGGGGTCTGCGTCCACCCCTGTGGATGTCGCAGGTGAGTGACGGCAGCACCTGCCCTTCCTTTTCACGGGCGTGCCAGTCACCTCGGTCCCCTGGAGACACTGCTGTTCGTCTCGCCTCTGGAAGAACCGTCTCCGTCTTTTAAAAATTCAGTTCAGCCTTCCTGCACTCCATATAAATCCGAGGTTTTGAACTTCTCTTTTGAACTTAGAACCACACTCCTGGTTCTCTCATTAGTTAATGGCCTAAATAAACCTCTGACACACTGCACTAGTTTTTGAGTTGCTGGTGGAACAAATTACCACAAACTTGGTGGCTTACAGTGACCAAAGTTGATCCCACCACAGTGCTGGAGGCCCGAGTCAGAAACCAAAGTGAAAGTGTGGAGGGGGGAGGTTTGCTGGCTCCTGCTGGAGGCTCCCGTGCGCGGGACTCTGCTCCGGGCCCCTCTCCAGCCCGCGCAATTCCCGACAGGTTGTGGCCCATCACTCCTGCGGCTGTGTCTTCACGGGGACTTTTCCGGTGTCTCAGACCTCCTCCTCCTCCTTGTCCTTGCCCTTCGAAGGGCACCAGTCACTGGATTTAGGACCCATCCTCATCCAGGATGATCTCATCTAGAGAACCTTCATTGTGTCTGTAACAACCCTATTTCTGTATAAAACCACAGGACAAGTCTGGAGCATACTGCTTGGATATATCTTTGGGGATGGGACACATTACTCATTTTATATCTGTGTGATAGTCATCCTTCTTAACACACTTCTTTTTTTTTTTTCTTTAACAGCAGTTTTGGAGACTCAGGGGCTTGGGGACACGGGGATGCTGGGAGATTCTGAAGACGGGTTTGGGCGTGGGGAACTGAGGTGGGGAGGAGGGTGGAAGTCAGGGGTTTGAGCAGAATGAGCGTGGTAGTCACTGGAGGGACTGTCTTCTGGCTGCCCCTGGGGCCCAGCAGCCCCATTTAGGGGAACTGACTCCACACAGCTCCGTCAGGGGTGGGGGACCCCCATGCAGTCCTGGGGCTTCTGCCCTGCTGTGGAGACGGAGCCCGGCAGCCTGGGACAGAAGCCAGGCCAGTGCTAGTGCCCCTTGATGTAGAAGTACGACAGAGTTCATTCCTTTGTTCGTGTGGGGTGGGAAACTGCTGTCCCTTGTTCCCCAAGAGTGGACAGGACAGCCCTCCTCCGGCCCCCAACTCCCAGCCTCAGGGCAGTCCACGGTCCAGGCATTCAGCAGTGCGTGTCCCGCACAGCCGGGCTCACGCCCTGGTGTTGCCACTCTCAGATGCCCGGGAAGCACTTCTGCGGGGGCCTGGCCTATTTCCTGGACCCGTTCCACAATAAACAGATGGGGTTGGGTAGGGAGGCCGACCATGTGCAACTGGGAATGTTGGCGGGACACCAGGACACAGGTGAAGGCGACACGGTGGGCAGAAGCTCAACTAGGACGGCGGTCGGCGGGCAGCCTGGAGGCGGTAGGGGCCCGGAGGTGCTGCGGCACTGGCGGCAGAAGAGGGTGTTGGCTGTTGGGGGGCGGAGGCCGGCTTCGCCTGAGCCCGGGGACGGGGGGAAGAACAGGCCCCTCCGGGATCACCGCGTGGAAGACGGCGCCACGGGGGGTGGGGTGGGGGGCAGACTCCCCGGAGGCTGGCGTCGCCCACCCCGGGGCGTCGCTGCAGGGACGTCGGCAGCAGGTGGACGCGGGCAGTGTGGCGGCCGGACCGGAGTTTGCAGACTGTGCCCGGCAGCGGCGAGCGGAAGCGGGCGAGGGCCGCGAGGACCCGCGACGGCGCGCGGGCCCTGGAGCTGCGCCGCTAGGGGCCGGCAGGGGGCGCCGCGGCGCCGCAGTCGCGGGCGCGCTCGGGGCCGGGCTCCGGGCCCGCGCGCCCTCGCCGCCGGGCGCGCGTGCGCAGTGCCGGCCTCCCGCGGAGACTGCTGGCCGCGGCGAAGCCGGTGCACCGAAGCGGCGCGGAGCGGCGGCCGAACATGTGGCGACCGGTGAGTCCCTTCCCCGGCCGCCGTCGGCCGCCCGTCCGGGACTCTCGGGGCTCCGCGACCCGCTTCCCCGCGCACCACAATGGCGCCTCGCCCGGGCCCCGTCAGAGACCCCGCCGCCCGGGCCCGCGCCCCCGGACCCTCGGGGACCCTGCCCTTCGGACCCCCCGCGGGGCCGAGACCCGGCGGCCGAGGCCGGCGCCACGGAGGAGCCTGCAGGCAGACGCCCCCCGCACCCCCGGGTCCGCGCGGGCCCCGCGGCTTCCGCCCTGGCTTCGGGCCGCGGGCCGTCCCGCCCCCGCGTGTCCGCGGACCCTCGGGGCGTCGGGCTCGGCGGGGACCCGGGCCGGAGGCCTTCTGCCGGCGCCTCTGCTGCTCGCGGGGCGCCCCGGCCCCGGCCCGCGCCCGGGCCCGCGGGTTCCGACCCTGGCGCCGGCGGCCGGGGGGCCCCTCCCGTCGGCGGCAGCTCCGCCGCCCGCCCGCCCTCCCCAGGGGCCCGGCCCTCTCCCGCCGCGGTGCGGGGCGAAGGGCCGGGGGCTCCGCGGCACGTGCACTCGGGGCGTCTGCGGCGCTCGAGCCTCCCGGCAAGCCCGGCCGTGCGGGGCCAGACGCGGATTCGCGGCGCCGGGGCCCCCGTGGACCCGGGGCTGGCGGCGAGCGCCCGCCCGCCCGCGGGTGTGGCTCGGGCCGGAGCGGAGCCCGTCACAGCTCGTACCGCGGCTCCGCGCCCCGGATCCCCGGGGGCCCCAGGCCTGCCCCCGGGGTGAGCCTGGGGGTCGGGGCGCAGGGGCGGGGTTGGCCCC